TCACACGTATCCCCCAGTGTTCCCCCACTCCTAAACCCCAGCGACTCTCCTCTTGGCTACAGCCCCCCCCCCCGGCTCCCCCACCACAGCTCAGAGTTGGTCGTTTCAGTCTGCTTTCGGACGTAGATTGTTTCTGTCAGGGTCTGGATGCACAGAGCGGGAAAGGGAAAAGCGACATGAAAAGCTGCTATGTGAGCTTCCCTCTCCCGGCTGCCAAACCTGTGTCCTCTTTGGGCAGGAATTGGGAGTCTGTCCACATCTTTCGTGTTGATGTTTTGTGCTCTCTCTCTTTTCCATCCCCAGTGAGCACCCCCGTCGATAGTCTGGTTCCCAAGGAATTTCACATTGTGAAGAACAGGGGAGTATTGCCCTTGACGTGCTTCGATGAGTGAGTGATTTCTGCTTTACGAAGGTTTGTCCTCAACCATTTGGAGCGGGGGTATAAAGCGATGAGAGGCTGAGGACACTGCCCAAATACACCTCTTGCCTTCGGGAGGGGAAAAGTACAAAAGGGGTGATTGTACAAATCCCGTGCCACCGACCAGGCTGCAGTTAACCCTGCGGGGCAAGGTGACCCTCCTCTCCTCAGTCCCTGCTGCTTTGGGGGTGGCTAACGCAGAATTTCCTGCACGCTCATGCTGCTTCTCAGGGGGGTTCAGTAGCTGGTTGTGAATGTAGAAGCTGAAGTCTGGTTTCATCCCTTGAGGCAACGTTTGGAAGTTTTTTGCTGCTGCTTGCTGCTTCTTTTTTTATTTTTTTAAATTTTGATTAGTTTAGAATTGCTTTCTGCCATAAAGCTGAGCAGGCTTTTGGCCATTCTTACTCTCACTTTATGCTTGGATAAACCTAGACCTGCTGGCATCTTGAATCTGACTACTCTGGTGGGGTTTTGTTGGTTTGTTTGCAGGGTTTTGTTTGTTTGCTGTCTCCTCTGTTTCTAGTTCTTCAGGCTGGGGCTTTTGAATGGAGTTTACCAAGCCTTGCCCAAAAAAGGCTACTGAGACTCCCCTTGGTCTCTCCAGACAACTTACTAAATTTAAAGGAGCTTCCTTCTCATTGTTCAAGGATTAGAATACTAAGATTAGGAGTGAACTTCTCACAGCCTCTTTGCCAACATGATGTAACAGAACATTATCTTATTATTTCAGTGGTCTCCTGCGCTCGGTCTCTGGGTGGGTGTGATGTGGATACGTGCTAATCCTCTGGCCCCACCACTAACCTTTAAACCCATTGGTCACTTCTTAGCCAAGTACCATGAGAGGTCCTAAAGGGAGAAGGTTGCGCCAAGATTTCTGTTGTTAGGGGAAGAGCTGCAGGAGGCCCAATTCTCACGTTAGGCTCTGGATGCTCCCACTTAAGAGCAACCCTGTAGACCCTTCTCTGCCTCTCCAACCTTCGTCAGGTTGTACATGGGACAAAGAGATTGAAGGAGAGAGTGGGATCCTGTAGCTAGCACTGGAAGGGTTTCTTTTCCATCAAGTTCTAACATTTGTGTTCGTCTCAGTAAATACACAACGCTCCTCAAAGACCGTGAAAAGAAACTACGGCTGTTCCCATCCCTGTAAGTACCGCCCGGCGTGAAGTTGTTTTCAGAAAAAAACCAGGGGTTTGAATTTCATTTCCTGGGAAAATATCATAACATGCCATACAGAATAATGATGTGTCTCCTTCTGGTCTGTCAGGAAACCTGGGAGGTCAAAGGTCATCCAGCTGATGGAGGTGATGGACAGCATGTTGGAAAAAGCTGGAGTAGACAAGATAATCAGAGTAACAGGGCCTTCACAGGTGGGTAACTCGCTTGTACCTGAACAACTTTCCTGTACCCAGAAAAACAACATCCTGTTTTCCCCAGTGTTTATCTAAGGTGCCTGCTAGCAGCTAGTTCCTGCCTAAGCCAGCTGTCTGTAGGTTATCAAATTACCAGCAGTTTTCTCTCCTGATCTTCTGTTCACCTTCATCTGATCCACGAAGACCGAACAGTTAGCTTGCTGACGTTATTATTATGGAGGAATGAAGGCAGTAGCTGTCTCAGCTCTTTGTTGGGAGATAAGCTGCTGTGTTACAAAATGGGCCACTGGAAACCTTCATACACCTAAAAAGAAGATGTCAAAGAGCATCTGTACCTTGCTCTGTCTTATTTTCTGTTATTCTTGCATGGTGATGGGGAAAGATTTTTGAAAAATGTAGAGCACTGCCTCAGTAGGAACTCGAGCTGGAATTAGCAGAGAAGCTCCCATGGATGTTGACAGGAGGGTAGTCAGGATAGTGCATAACGCGTTTGAAAATTAACCTGTGGATGCATGCGGGGTGGCTCTTTGCCTTCCCCTTTATACCTTTAGTAGTATTATGCCCTTAAAGGGAAACCTCCTTCAGAAGAAATGAGAGATCTGTGCTAACCTCTGTTGGTAAAGCAGTAGGCTGGTCAGGTTCTGTGCAGCTGTGATTTTTCTTGCCTGTTTTGCCAGCTGCATGACATGCTGGAGCTGTTTGAAGGTGGAGCAGAATATCTACAATATCATTTTCCATGAACTGATTTGGCAGGTCAGCGTGGAATGCGTGGAGAGAGGACAACTGCTTTTGAAGCTCAGGTCATCATTAGCCAACCCTTAATCCCCCTCTTGATTTATGGCAGAGTCCTCTTAGGGCTCAGCGTTAGCTGTCACAGTGTGTTCCTGATGTCCTTGCTGAGCAAAGCCAGCCCGTCGCGATGTCATTGGTGTGTGGTCTGATGCCAGGAGTGAAATAGGATTAGTTAACAACCGGCGGTAATGAGCCTGTTAGATAACCTGGAGCTTGAAGTCAGTGGCATTGTCATCACACTCGAGACCGTGGGCACCTCACTGGTGTGACATTCAGTGGAAGTTCTCACACATAGAGTAGCTGGGACTTCTCTCACAGCCAGGAGTTCCTGAGCTCAGATTACCACTATTTGTAGCAACTAAATTGTTCCAGAGTGTTTAAAATTCCCAGTCCGAATGCCCAAAGGATTGCCTTCTAGATAGCTTCTTGTGCAGTGAATGGGGTAAGAGAGATCTGCACTCTTGGGTAAATTCCCTTTTTCACTCTTTTTTTCCTGCAGGCAGAGGTACATGGGTCTCCTGGAGCGGATTCCTGAACAGATGAAGACCCTCTACGAAAAGATGATGGCACAGCGTTTGGTCAACAGGAATATTACAGAAGAACTACTCTATATTAAAGAATCTGTTGGACAGCTAGCCAGATCTGAATCCTGCCTGATCCTAAGAAATTATGTCTATGCCCTAGTCTTAGTCCATTGATTTTGTTTGGTTTTCTAATAGTCCTGCCATAAGAGCAGGAAGATAATTTTATTATTTGAAGTGGAGCTCCAGAGACTACATTTGGGCCTCCTCACACTCTCACTGCACCCTCTTAGTGACAAATAACATCAAAGGATGGGGGACTGCAGAAAGGGGTTGTTGGAGCAATGTGCGTGCAAGGGAAGGGGAGGTCTGCAAGATGCCTTCCACCCCTACAGCGAGATGATTGTGTTGGAGGAAGAAAGCCCTGCGTAGGGGTGTGATGGTGCAGCCCCCCCTCACACCTGGCCATCCCAGACCAGCCAACATTGTATTCTTGCTTGCGCTGCAAGAACAGCTAGCTGGTGTGCAGTGAATCAGGACGACTTGGCACTTGCCGTGTCTTTGTATGAGAGCAGTGAGTTCAGCCGATCAGGTGCTTCCTGACCGCACCTGAATCTCCTGATGCCTGGAGTCGCACCCGACTGGTAAATGTCAGAACTGTACATTTGGGAATTGTACAGTTGCTGTCTGCATCGTGTGGACTGTGACCAGGATGGAAAATTACTGATACCTATAGTCAACCATCTTGAGACCCTATAAATAGTGGCACCGAGGAAGGCCCTTTGAGCTCTTCTGGTCTGCAGCGGGCTGCGCCCAGTAACTCCCTCTGAGTGGGACACCCCTCAGAGTAACTCAGGAACTATTTGGGCTGATCTCCTCGAGACTCAGCCTTCACCCATTGAGAAATCATTTGATTTGAAGTGAGTGTTTCACTGAACTCGAGGGGCATGTTTGTGATTGTGGGTGTGTAAATCGATTCAAAACTTAATATTCTGTTACTGTGATTGTAATAGCAAATTCTTTCTAATCACCCTGTAAATGCTAAGTTAACCAGTGATTAACAGCTGCTAAATCCCTGTGATTCTGTCTTTCTTTAAACTGTGAACACACACAGAATTTCTGCTAAACATATTCCTTAGACATAAACCGTTGTGGTCCAAGGCTCTGGTTCTGGATCCAGCCGCATCTAGGCTCCTCTCTGAGAAGGAGTTTAGAAAGCAAGGGGGTTCAGTCTGAACCTGGTGACTCAGCGGGAGGGTGTCCCTTACCCCTTACACTTTTTCTTGCACTCTAGAAATCACTTTCTACTCAAAACCCCCTTTGATTTTGTATTCCATTCATTTAAGAAGTAATAGAGTGAACCTTGCCAACAAATGCTGTAAGATCACATTTTCTAAATTTTCAGTAAAATCTTTTCTTGCAAAACCTTTGAGTGATGATTTAAGCGACCTAACCACTCATCCACGACAGGGGCCCACCAGTCTGTGCTTGCCAGAGTAGAGACTTTTGGGTTGGGCTCAGTTGCATTAAGCCTGTTCCCTGCTGTTTCAGTGAGCTGTACGAGGTACAAGAACGTGACGGCAAGGTGACCAAAGAAGCAGAAAAAGCTCAAGAGGAGCTAGCTACAGCCATGCAGGAGGCTAAGGGGAATGCAGAGTAAGTTGTTTTCAAAGCTGAGGTTGGGAGATTTCTGCGGCGTGCTGATTTCATTCTCTTGGGGTCACTGGGAAGGAGAGGTAAGGGCTGATTTCCTTCTGGGGAAGAGAGCTTGGCTGTTTATGACACATGCTGCTATTTTGCTATAAATACTAAACCCCTCAAATGGATAGAAAGCTGTTCAAACATTTCTAGTTTTAAGTCATGAAACTTGCATTTGTTGCTCTGGTGCTGGCATTCCCTTTTTTTCATCCCACTTTCACAGCTGGGGAGCTCTTCATAGCCTAGCAGAGCCTGCAGCTCTGGACTTCTGTGGGCATCTTCAGACACCTGAGAAATCAGGGATTTAGGTGATTGGTGTCAGAGTTGTGGTGCTTAGGCACACAGATTCCCTTACAGAGATTTGTATTAATCCTGAATCTAGGTTGCAATGGGAACGTCAACAGAAGGGTGTTGTAGGGGCTTAGGAAAAGAACCTGTGAACTTACTGGCTGTGCAGGAGGTGACAGAGGAAGGAAGGAGAGAGAGGAAATGTCTGAGAAAAAGCAGTAGGAATTGGGAGAAAGACAGCGTAAACGTGAATGAGGAACACTGGTGTGCAAATGTCATTGTCTTTTCTTCTATCCTCTTGGACAAGTATCAGGACTTATATGAGCTACAGAGAAGATGACTGGAAGAGCAGGTTCTGCTGCTAGCCCGAGAGAGAGACATTTGGAGCTCAGCTGCGTATGACCTGGCTCTGAAGGTAGGTGCAGGAGATCCATGATATGCTGCAAGGTATGAAACATCACAGCTAGCAGCCTTGTTCCAAGAGCAGATTTCAACACAGAGAACATTTTTATGCAATAAGATCAGGCAGTAACACACCTCATACCTGCCCTGGCCTCATTTCCTGTAGTCTGTTGTATTTCACACACAGCATTGTTGGTACGGTTCTCCAGGTTCTGTGCAGGAAGAACTTCTGTGAAATTAACATTTCCGTTCAGAGATGGGTTTGACTAAAAAGTTTCCTAGTCCTCATAATTTAGAGTATCATACCCAGATCCCTTACACTTCCTCACAAAGTATCATTCTTGGTTATTTCTGTGCTTCCTTGTTTGTGTCCCCCTTGTTTGCGACCTCCTACTTTATCCCATTCCTGTTTAAAATCTGTTAGCAGAACTTATGGGACTGTCCAGGAGTTCAGATGTTTATTTGTAAGGAAAGTGGACTCAACCGCTTGATGTAAAGCTACCTTGTTAATGTCAGATGCCTCTCCTCTCGGAAAAAAACAAATAATGTTTAGGGGTTTTTTTTTCAGATAGTAGCCAGAAACCAGCTCATGTTGGTTCGCAGGCTCCATGTTAGTGGAAAGACACTGACCAACCTTCTCAGGAATTTCGTAGTCCTCTGGGCCTCGAAGGTAGGGGCCTGTCTGTGCTGGGTGCCTGTGCAAAGTGTGGGTACGTGTGGCTGGCGTAGCTCTGCAGCTCTCAGTAAAGCATTCCATGCTTTGGCTGTTATTTGAACTTTCGAATCTTGGTCTGGTTTCAAATAAGCATTAAAATCTGAATGAGTTCAGTCTGCTTTTCTCTCTTTTTTCCACGTCCCCTTTTCTCCACCTCAAACTTTTCTCTTTTTTTCCCCCATTTCCCCTTTTATTGTGGCTTTCTTTGCTCTCCCTGTTCCATCTCCACAAAATCAAAACAGGCCCAGGCTAGTGTAATTTTGGCCTCATAGATACGGGGCTGCATGGTCTCTCGGTGGCATACAAGCAACAAGCAGTCAAGCGCTCACCGGCTCAGTGCAAAACAGGCGCTGACTCTTGAGTGCAGTGAGATTTGGTGCAGTCTGCACGTCCCACACGGCTCTGCTTTTCTGCTTGACAGATTTATTTCAATAATCGGGTCTCTAACGGTAACTCCAAAGAGATGCTGTGTGTTAGTGGTTGAATTCAGTGGACCTAGGATCATACCCTCCTGCTGCAAACTAGAGTGTCCTTTTTGCAGCTGTCGTTGCTATAACAGATTTCTTCTGTTTAGTTTGGTTCATTTTAACTTGAATGCATACACATTGATGCTTCAATAGAGCATTCAATTCTTTCATGTACTGATACAAAATGACACTGAGAGACATGAGGTTTCAAGTCCAAAGTCATTTTGTATGTTAAGGTGATTATATATCGCAGGCTTATTGTTAGTTCATTGTGATATGTTAAATAAAACAAAGCATAAAAGCAAGTATAAAATGCAAAAATATACACAGTGTGTGCATTAATAAAAGACACCACTTTATAGATATCAATCATAGAGTTAATGTCTGAATTTTGAATTGGATTTTCCTTTTTGCTGGAAATAACGTATTTTCTTAACTGACACGCAGTGTTTGTATTTCTTGGAGTATGAGAACAAGAATCTCTGAATAGAGCCTGGTGGTTTTTAGTTCTCTTTCAAGTCACAATTTTTATCACAAACTTGGTATGTGTAGAGTATATATCTTGACTCTTGGTTTTACCTTAGCTACTAAAGGAGTTTTTCCTCTCAGCTCTCATCCCTTCTTTCCCTCTGCTTTAGCTCCTCTCCGATGAATGAAAAGCTACTGGATGAAATCCTACAAGATATCAAGAATTTGATACATATAAGATTTTGAGAGGTTAGACATATTATTGAGTGGTATCTGCTCAGCAAATTACTACGTGTTAGCTGAGCACCGGTGAGCATCTATGCCCATCACAAATGCGAACGAAAACACATCAGCCCAAATCTTTTGTGCTGAAGCTTAATCCAAGAGTCTACACATGAGAAATTATAATTGTCCAATATCATGGTTCAACCAGCGCATCAAACTTAGTCATGCATTTGAGCGCTGTCTGACCGACAGCTCTGGTGACTGATAAATGACATTAATCTGTAGAAGCGCTCATAAGTGTCACCAATAAGTTTCCAATTTATTGTGCTATCTACTCGCTATGACATCTTTATGCTCATGGACTCCTCGTACTTCTCTTACCTGATTTCCATTACCTTTCTGTAGCAGCCAAGGGGGGGCTGAGCTTTTAGGGGCACGGCGAGCTTGGTGCTCTTCTTTCAGATGCTAAAAGAAGACCTGCAGCAGTACGGAGGGGAGGTGCAGCTGAGGAAGACTGAAAGCCTGAGGAGCGCTGCCAGCCAGCAGGAGCACTGTATGGAGCTGGGACAAATGGTGCTGAATCGACATCGGGACTTTGCTGGAGCGTTGCCTTCTCAGCAGGCTGCCCTGGAAGAAATAAACCACCGGGCGTGTGAACTCTACCAGCAATACAACATAAGGATAAGTGGGAGTAATGGTAAGCGATGGCCAATTTTGCAGTTCAGTCTTTCCTTGGAGATGCCAGGAAAGCGGCAGGTAATAAAGGACCAGTTCACATAACCTGTACTGGCTTCTTCCAAAGCTAAAGTCTGACCCCCAGATATGTGCTGGAAATCAAGAGCATTCAAGGGATAAACTCCAAGAAACTTGACTTGAAGTGACATGTAAAAAGATATCTGAAATTTTAAATGTGATGCAGTGCAGAGAACATGTAATGCGGGTATAACACAGGGAAGTCGCCTGTTACGTTCAGAGGGAGTGTGGGCAGTTTGTGATTATGTGGATAATTTATGGGAAAGAAAATAAATATAAAAGGAAAGAATGGGTGTTTAAAATGTAAAGTAAAACATCATTTTGAAGATCATTAACCAGATAACACTGTCTCAGAGGGTAATAATTTTTTAATTATCACTAATGCAAAGTTATCTTAATCTAGATATTGAATTATCCTGATAATAAAGTATGTAAATAAATGTTTTCTTTGCTGATATAAAGTTATCGTGTCTTGTGTAAGATAACAAACATTTGTTGGGTAATTTGCAACCAACCTTCTCAACTTGTGCCTCTGCAAGCCCTTGACTCATTTCTGATTTCAGAATTGTTTCATCTCTGATGTTTTTTTTATCATCGTGTTTCGTTTTAGCAGACTAAAACTAAACTGAACACGTGCTGTCAGGAACTGCTACTCATGTTTGCTAAGATGCTTCTTGTACTGTCATTTTCTTCTTTCACTCAGGGAGATGCTGTATTTCTGCCTACTAAAGGAGCTAAGATGGAATGCTAAGTCTGTCCGTCATGAGAGACAGCTAAAGGAATTAAATATTCCCAGTAGTTCTCATTAGAAAGTGAGAGAAAGAAGAAGAAATGGGGCCGTAATTGGCCAGACACCAGCACGACAAAAAGTTAACAGCACATTGTCAGAAGCCTGGATAGTTAGTTGTGATCTGAGCAAAGGGCTAGGCAGCACAGTGCAGACATCTGGTGCAAAATTGCTTTACCCAGTAAAGTAAAAAAAAAAAACCAAAACAAAAAAACCCCCACGAATTTTAGCCTATTTTAACGAAGGCTTTGGGAACTGGACCATGGGAAAGGTATTCTCTCAATCCATACGAGGCAGAGTATTTTGAATGGGTTGGATTCATTTTTGCACTGTAGCGTGATGGCCTTTCAGTAGAAAAGAAAAGGTATCTCTTCTCTTTACATTGCAGCTAAGGTAAACACAGTGAAAATGAAAGAGGTTATAAAGAACAGGTAAGAGAGCACACTGAGAACTTGGTAATTTTGTCCTGTAAGGCAATGGCACTCAATTACGGGAAGTAAGTATTTATTATCTTCTAAGATCTGATTACCTGATCTCAAGCAGCATGTGGCAGAAATACAAAGCATTTGGTATTTGATGACAAGGATTAGAGATGCAGAGAGAACAATGAGATATGAGATTGTTTTAGACAGGAGATATGACAGGACTTACATGAAATCTATAAGGTTTGGCTTCAGGTCTTTGCTTTTATTTGGTCTTCCTTGATCACATCTTAGAGCCTTCACAGTGTACCTTCTTTGTGAGAATTCAGTGAATGAACAAGTAATTTGCTACCTTGTCTGGGTATTTTTGCACATCTGTTCTTACTATATCACCTATGTCTTTGAAGAATTGGGTTGTAACTGCAAAGCTGTTTTAGACAGAATTATATTAAGCCTTTACCCAACAAGGGAGCTAAATTTGCCAAGACAAGAAGAAAAGTCAGGGCTTCAAATCAAGCCCATTTTCTTTCAGCTTGCTTTGAATTCAGTGCTTACTGAACAGCTCATTCATAGTCCTAAGTAAAGTCAGTTCCCACATAGGCTGTTCATCCCTCTTGGCATCCCCCTTTGAAACCAGCTTTGTTTTTGTTGGCTGAAAGAATTGTAATTAAAGGTTCACATTTTCTTCTCCCACAGGCACAGCTAGGTTTTTGGCAGCCTTGGTGAGAAGTATGGAAGATTGGTTATTCAAGGTGCAAAAGCTGAAGTAAGGTTCTGGCATGCACGAAGCTGAGCTGCGGGCATTTTATCACAAGATTCCTGCGTGGCTGGCCCAGGTGGATGCTGTGATGAGCTGTATAGGCTCCAGCCAGTTGCATGAAGCTGAGAGGGATAAGAAATCACATTTTCTGTAAGGACAGAGGTGTTAATTGTGTTTGAGCTGGCCTTATATGTTAAACTACACTCATAAGAAAAGAGAAATGTTTTTTTGTCGGGACTCTGGTGCAGAAAACTGACAGTGGGATAAACATCATCTGCTGAAGTGTTAAAATTATTGGTGACTGCCTTTCGTTGGCTTTGATTTGGCAATATCTGTGGAAACAGTTGGTGGCTTCAGTTATCACTCCTGGAACTTTGTCTCAGTCAGAACTGCCACCTGCTTTGGGAATCTTGACATTTGAAGAAAAACCAAAAATACGTGATTCATTTACAGTCAGATTTGTGGGGGCATATCCTTCCTTGTGGTGCTCCATTGTCTTTGGTAAATATCATCAGGAAAGAAATTATGTGCAGAGCACACGTGTAACATCTGTGTAAGATTACTTGCAAGTGCCAAGTTCGCCCACAACTATAGCATTAACAAAAAAGCCTGTGTCTTGTTTCCAGGATATAGTATTACTAAAATACGTTGTTTTCCTTGAGCTGGGAAGCAAAAGGTGTCTTTGAGACAGGAGATCCTTGGGTCTGGTGCACTAGAGGTCACTTTGTTTCTGGATTTGTTTTGTTTTTTTTTTTCAGGATGGTACCTAGAGAATTTTTTCAGATGATTCAGCAATGGGTTCTGTCCATGAATAATGAGGTTGACAAGAACATCACACATCTTAATGAAAAAGTAAGTGCAAGCCTGAAACTAC